TAGGGGGACGTTCTGAAGTGGTTCAGTCGTTTTAATTACTTGGTTTACTAGCTGAGTTGGCTTTACTAGCTTATAACTTGGTTATAAACATAGTTGGATAACTCATGTTTATGAAAGATATAACGATAGTTGATGGATGTATTGATGGGATATAACTGTAGTTAAATGTGCTGGGTAACCATTTTGTCCCATATCTATTCATGGGATATCTAATAATTCAATAGGTTGATGAGATCCTAAGGGGACTTAATGGATCTTAATGGAATTTGATGGGATATAATTATGATATAATTTAACCACATAATGTGGTTGGAATGGGGGTATCCCCATAGCTGGATGGTTTATAATCGAAGATCCTGCTAGAACATTAAAAAAATGGTAGGTTTATAATTGGAAAATCCCTTTATCTAAAGTGGATGATGTAGGGGGTAGCCCTATTTTCAGGAAACACCCAAGTCGTGGGGGATGTAGATGGTATAAATGAGAATTCATCATAGTTTCATGGTAGTCATGGGGCCTGTAAGGATTTGGATTTGGGGGTACCCCCAATGACTTTGGAAACAACATATCTCATATCGGGAAGTAGCCAAGTAGCCAAGAAGAGGGGATCTTTAAAGCAAAGTTGTTGTATTTATGGTTGATACTGTGGGTGGTTGCGAAATCCTGCACCAGTTGATAGGTTTATCCAAGGTGGTGCAGGATTTCTTCTATCCACACAGTTATGGCCGTGGCTATTAGTTATAACTGGTTATTTCTATGGGATTGTACAGTCTATAAATGGGGTTAGTTCAGTACAAACATAACTGGTATTTTGGGCCTTAACTGCAGTATATCTAAACTATTCTAAACTTGAGTGCAGGAACTCTGAAGAAATCTGTTGTTTTTTTTGGGCGTTGCAATGACTTGGCCGCGATTCAAAGAACTTACCATCTGGTTATGACTAACATAGCTATGGAAAATCCATGCGAAATGGAGGTTCTAATGGGAACATCATCTGCGAATGGGCCATTTTCCTTAGCTATGTTGAATAACCAGAGGGTAATATATCAATGATCAAACAATGTAATCAACAGAAGTGGGGATTTCCCCAACCAACTTGCAGCTTTAATCATCAATATTGTGTTTTTTCACCACCGAGAGTGGATGTGAACGGTAGAAAATTGGCATCCAACTATCCAATGATGCATTTGTTTACCTACAGTGTATAGATTTTACATGTTTTACTGACAGTGGCAATGGTGTTAGGTCAACCCTGGAATATTGAGCCTTGCGAATGGATTGGGTTTACCACCAAGAGATGTGGAGAGGAGCGAAAGAAATTGGAACAACGCTCAAAAAATCACAGGGGATGTGGAATCCCTTCCTCCTCATTTTGAACCCCGCCCAGAAACCATGGTTTTGTAGGGGATGCTAGGGAATTTTCACATATTTTTACGACCATTGCTGTAGCAGGTGTTTACAGTTACGGATTAAGCACAATGTGTAACAATCTGATTCAAATATCTACAAATGATCACCCATATGCTCCATGTATGGAATATTTACCTACATTTACCCCGCAAATTGCCCAAATGTGATTAAATATTCCATACATGGAGCATCTGGGTCATAGTTACGAGTTGTATTGATCTAGAGACTGCAAGATCTACTTCAGGTGATCCTTGAGTTTGACCTGAAGGGTTCGAATTTTGATTGTGAAAAATATGCCACATCCTTTAAGCAAATCCAAGTATGTATATATATATATACCATAAAACATTGCCATATGGGTGTGATTAAAAATGAGATATGGTAACCTGCTGGTTGGTGGTTTGGAACATGGATTTTATTTTCCATCATATATGGGATCATCCCAACCCCATTGACTTTCATATGTTTCAAGATGGTTAAAACCACCAACCAGAACTTGTTCGCGTGATATCTTTGCTGAGCCACGGATCCCTGAAATTCATAGATACCATACATCTCTTACAGCTGGGAATGATGCAAAGAGAGCAGACGGATACTTTCCAAACTAATGCGTGTGGATTCCTCCCTCAAAAACGAGAGCTCCTTGGAATAGTGAGTAGTTTAGCCATGGGTATACCCCCACATAGTTGTTTTAGTATTTTTAAACATGATGATCATCGACTGGATTTTGAGAAAAACAAACCAATCAGACCTATTAGCCATTAATAGCCATCAATACCATATGGTTATTTAACATAGCCATGGAAAATCCCTTAGAAATGGAGGTTTTAATGGGAAAATCATCTATAAATGGGCCATTTTCCATGGTTATGTTAAATAACCAGAGGGTATCACAAAAATATCACCATAGCCGTTCTTCGAAATTCTAAATCTTGGGATCCTTCTCTGACACCCCCGTGGTCCCCCCGTGGGTTATCCGTGGGAATCCGTAAAAATCCGTGGCCAGGAGAGGATTGGCAAGTTGAACAAACAGGAGGAAGATTCCAAGAAGGAGTTCCAAAGCAAAGAGTCCTTTGACTTCAGATGGGTTTGTCTGAAAATGTTGGGTTAATCTTCCCAATGATAGCTAGCCATTTTTCAAAACGGGATTGTCTGATCAGCAAAACCATTGGGTACAGTGGGGTACACAACATTTTCAGACACACCCAGATGCAAAACAGATATTGTCAGATCTTTGGAGTTAGGACTCTCTGACAGGACTCTGACTGTTACCCTCTGGTGAACTAACAAAAAACATCATAAAACCATGGAAAATCACCATTTTAAATGGGAAAATCCATTATAAATGGCCATTTTCCATTGCTATGTTAGTTCACCAGAGGGTAGTTCCAAAGATCTGACTGTGCTGAAAAGATTCTGAACAGTTCTTCCACTGCTGAAAAGAAACCATTCACTGCTGATGAAGGTGGAAGATGGTTCGATGATCCATGAAGTGGGTATTTGGGGATGGAATTTATTTTTTTTGAAGTATGTTGGATGAGTGCTACCCCTATAGAGGTTGTTCTTACAGGACACCTGCTGCAATTGACCAAATCAGAAGTGGGCCTGTCCGCGCCGGTCTCTTTACATATCATTATAATTATGAGTTCCCTTAATTCAAGCTGGCAACAGCAAATCTCAAGTTTCAAGAGATTGTCTATCTGTCTATTTGTCTATTTGTCTATCTCTCTATCTATCTACAGCATCTATCTCTACATCCATCTATCTATCTATCCATCGACCCATCCATCGATCCATCCATCGATCCATCCATCGATCCATCCATTGATCCATCGATCCATCTATCTATCGATATATCGATCTATCCATCTATCCATCTATCCATCTATTCATCTATCCATCTATCCATCTATCCATCTATCTATCTATCCATCTATCCATCTATCTATCTATCCATCCATCCAATTATCTATTGTGGATGTTCCATTGCCATGTTTGATTGCTGGAGGCTACCTGCTCAATTTGTTGATGGCTAGACCAGCTCAGAGTGGATTTGCTGTTTCTTGCTCCTCAGACTAGTGATTCTGAGACTTGGTTACCCTCTGGTGAACTAACAAAAAACCATGGAAAATCACAATTTTTCATGGGAAAATCCACTATAAATGGCCATTTTCCATTGCTATGTTAGTTCACCAGAGGGTAAGCAAAAAAAAAGGAACCTCTGACTGAAAAAATGGGGTTACTGGAACATCCATAGTTGATCATCATCCATCACATCAAAGCAATCATTTTGAGGTATACCATGCTTTACCTCATTTTCAGACACACCCTGAAAGTAGCATGTTGCATGGTTGCTTGACGTTTCAGACACCGGTCCCTGAGGCATGCTCATGACCAGAAACTGGGCGACATTCGGAAGAAGTTCGATGCCAAGATGCTTGGTTTGTATTGGTTCGTTCGATGTCCGCAGGATATACAAGCTAAGTATCTAGCGAAGGGTTGGTGTTGATACTTAGCTAAGTATGTTGGTCCACTGAGATTGTTGTTAGATGAATAGCTAATAAGTTGGTTGTCTTACATGTGAAGTGAAACCATTCAAGCTTCTTCTCCACCTAAGTGGGGATTCTGCAGCGAATGTGGGGCTGTCAGTACCCCTTCAGGTTGGGAAACTAGTGTATCTACCAAAATACATACATACAATGTGAGGCCCCCAAGATATCTAAGTTGGTTTATAACTCCAATAACTATGGTTTATGGTATTTTTAACTATAGTTACTGGGGCTTATAAACCAACTTGTAACTGGGGGGCCTCACATTGTAGGAAGTAGATATCCGATCCTAGAAATGGGGTTGAACATGGATCCACACATTCTGGATGAAGTCAGCAATCAGCTGTTCTTTCTTTAGCGATTTCTCATTTTGGAAAATAGGGCACCCACCCACTTCCAATGGACTATCAGATCTATCAGCATGTTCGCATATGTTCGCGATTAAGACGCGTAAACTGGGGTTGTACTTCATATTTCAGATAAATCCCAATCTCATAGTGTTGGTTATAGATCTCATGTTGATATTCCGTCCAGTCCCCTTTTCATATCCCACATATTGGCTATATAGTTCATCTCCATGAAAGATAACATACTTAGTTACCCTCATCAAATCATATTATAGTCATTATAGTCAGTCATATATAGTATCCCCATCGTTAATCCCCATTACACATCCATATTTGTTGGTTAGTTAGATCCCTCTAGAATCACAATAAACACATATCCCATGGTCAATCCCTATCTCTCCATGGCTGTGTCTTCTAGACTCTTAGGAAAATCTCTGAGCAGTTCTATCAGACGGAGGTCAAAGACGAGAATCGCATCTGGACCGCCTGCAGGGTGGGTCAAGTCATTTCTGATACGTCTGTTTCAAGACTACAAGGTGGGCCCCCGTTTGCAATAATCCTAGAATCCTAGTTGGTGAACATAAATGAAATAGCTTTGCTTTATGGTGGATATTTCTATACCTAATGATGTTTGATAAACCAACTTCGAACTTGGGGAGCCCCACCTTGTAGAAATTACCCACCCAGAACATCCAACCTTCTTTATTTAACATTTAAGGTAACCTCTCTTAAATTGTTTAAGGAAGGTTAGCTTAATTAAGGAAGATTGTTACCTTCGTTAATTAAGGAAGGTTTTCTGTAGGTTTTTCCACGAGTTATTTTGTGACATTATATGGTCTTTTACATTGATGTCACTTGTATTTGTTGTTTTTAATTTATGTTTGTTGAAAGGATTCAGTGTGCAAGCAAGTCGATGAAACTGTTGGTTAAAACTTCGAAATGTTTTTTTGATCCGATACACGGAAGGAATAGATTTCATTTTTTTTGGTTATGGATGTTTGGTTTGACAGTGTTTTTTTAAAGAAAGTAGTGTGCAATCGCGTCGATGAAGTTGCATGCACAGTGATGGACATACAAGTAAGAGGTTTGCCTTTCAGTGTTACGCTTCCGGTGGCTTGCCCCGGGCAGTTTAGAAATAGAATTTCGTAATTGTTTGTTTGCGTCGTTCGTTGCATGCTCAGGGATGTACATAGGTAAGAGGCTTGCTCTTCACTGTTCATAGTTGGTGGCTTGCCCCAAGAAGTAGGTAGTTTTGAAGTCGAATGGTTGGATGTTGTTGGATCAGTTGTGTTTGTTAAAAGGACGAAAGGGTTTGGCTTGTTCACGTGGATGAGAATTTGTGAGACATATTTATGATTGCTTTGCATTTCAAAATCAATATTGTTTCTGTGAGTTTCTCTTGCATTAAGACACCCATGGAATCTGTAGCACGCCTTCTTGGTTTCGCCCTGTCAATGGATCTGGCTCACTATATCGCTATGTTCGCAAGGCTTTGCCTGTGTTTCAGAACTCAACAGGGCTTTGCCTGTTTTTTCTCCGACAAGGCTTTGCCTGTTCTTTTTGCATTGCAAGTCTTTGGCTGCATCTTTTAGGCGATGGGTAGTAGCAGAGCAAAAGACACGTTGGAAGCAAGGGATTATAGCAAGTTGTTGCGCGCAAATTTTCTTCCTAGAGCTTATCATTTCTCACTCCCACAGAAGACGAAAGACAAAAATATTTCAAATAAAATATTTAAAAAACTATTGCAAATTATTACCTTCTTCTATAAATGCAACATTCACCAAAACCACTTTTTTTTTCGCAACTTTTCCCTTCTACCTCCTTAATTTGAAATTAAGAAACCTTTCTTAATTAAGAAAAACTTCCTTAAATAGCAGAACCTTTCTTAAATATTACCTTAATTAAAGATGATTTTCTTAATTAAGAAAGGAAAACTCTTAATTAAGATAATCTCGCTTAAATAAGTTAGGTTGATTAAGAGAGGTTTCCCTAATTAAGAATGATTTCATAAAATAACAAAGGTTGGAGGTTCTGGGCAAATTCGTGTCTCTTTGAGTCTTAAATTAGCATAAACATAATAAGGTCAAGAGTGTGATTTTCCTTTAAAAGAAAAGTGGTCCGAAAATCCCTGACATGGTAAGATAGAACGCACCAAATGTCAGATTAGGAGTTGTTACATTTCCAAGAATTCCACACCAGGACACTAATCGCTGTTTTTTGGTAATTAGAAAATGTAGATATGTTTCTCAATCATCATGAAAGGTGTATTGATTTGGGGATGACAGGAAGCTATTTCACTCAACTTCTCTTTTCTGGTTTGAAATGTCTTTATGTTCACCATTACCCTTTGCAAAACGTGGTAAACATATATATATATATATGTCAGGCCTCAAAATCCGTGGTCTCCGCTGTTTTTTTTCTTCAAATCAATCTATTGAACCAAATACATGCAAGGTGGTGCCCCTAAGATAGCTAAGTTGGTGAACATAACTCCAAGAACATATGATTTATAGGTGATATATCGAACTAGTTCATAGGGTTTATAAACCAATAAACAGAACGAACTCGGGGGGCACCACCTTGTAGGATTTGCCATGTCCTTTCAGCGGAGCCTCCGCAGGAAGTATTGGACGCAAGTTCGTGCGCACCAACACAGGCGGAGTGCGTAGCTTTGCAGGGGTCCCTCCAAGGTGGATAGGCTTCCACAGTTAAGGCCCTTTACCACTTATAAGTACTGAACTAACCCCATTTATTGTATAATCCCATTTAGAACCAGTTATAACTAATAAATGGCCATAACTGCAACATATATCCATCTGGGTAAATTTCATCAGGACCCGAACCCTGGAATCATGGTTCATAAGGGGATCCATCCCAAAATATTATCTGAAATAAAATATGATTAGTGAAATAATTATGGAGATATCATCTGAAAATATTACTAGGATCCTTTTTTTCAGATTAGTGAAATATTACAATTTACCCGGATCCATGGTGGATTAATCAGTACAATGTGAGGCCCCCGTTTACGATAGCGTTCAGTTAGGGGCCACATAACTCCAATTTCACTCTGGTTTATGATACGCAAATAACTATGGTATTCATTGGGTTTATAAACCAAATTATAACTGGGGGGCAGCATATTGGAGGTATAGAATGTATGGATTCATAAGAATTTATATTCCATTTTTCTGTATCTAATCAGTACATATACCATATATCCGCCAATACCCAGAATTCTGTGGATTTATGATGGAGATATCTACAGTTAGATGGGGCTGTGAAACAATTTATAACTGAGGGAGCCTTCCTGTATGAATATCAACATTTGGCTCATTTTTGGGGCGTATGAAATCCCATACACTAATTACATGAAGGCCCTGGTATATGGCCTATGTTTTCGATGTGTTCAAAACTCTCTAGTTCCTTCAGTTCCTTCCCCATAGTGACACCTAAACATCCCTCCAGAAACATCCGCATGGTACATGGTCAAGACACCATGGCTATAATTGCAAATTGCTATAGCCACTAGTAAGCCATGTGTATCTCAATATGGCCTTCATTATATCACCATTTTTAGTGCTTGGTTCAGTCCCCATGTTCCTGATGAAAATTCACCAACCACTCGGGCCATGGGGAGAAGTTGCAGGCCATGCCAGGAACGAATTCCGGGTGAAGGGCTCAAGCTTCAGGACCTACCTGATGCGCAACCTGGTAGTGCAGACGCAGCATGCAGAGCTTAGTGGAGCACAAGTCCATCCCAAAGATTTGATTGGCGACGTGGGTCTGACAGTTTACAACAGGAGAATGCGACCAAGTTTGCAAATTGACCGCTCAGTTTCTTTAGTTACAACCCATATGCTCCATGTATGGAATCTTTACCTACATTTACCCCACAAATTGCCCAAATGTAGGTAAATATACCAGCACCATGGAGCATCTGGGCAATGATTTACATCGTATATGACGACTGGTTGCTACTGGAGACTGGTGGTTTCATTGTGTAACCCAAATGGAAGGTTGCTGATCTACAACGGCACGTGCTGGGCGACCTACGCCAAACGAACATTTAACGTGTACGATGAGAAGAGGGCGTCGAAAACCAGGGTGTACTTTGAGTGCGCTATGAGTGTACAGGTGGTTGTGGGCACTCTAGTACAGAAAGAAGGCCATCAGTGGCTTTGCCAAGAGCCACAAAGTGTTCTTAGAGCGGTACAAGCAGGCCGGTTGGAATCCTGAGAGTGCTGTGTTGCCATACAATGGCTTGGGTACATCCATTCTCTCAGGAGAAGTCCAGGAGGTGTACCAAGCACTCGTCTGACAAAAAAATCGTTCATGAAGGTTGAAACAAACACCTACAGTTAAGGCCCTTTACCAGTTATAAGTACTGAACTAACCCCATTTATAGAATGTATAATCCCATAGAAATAACCAGTTATAACTAATAAATGGCCATAACTGTATGACCTAGTATATACTGTATTGAATGAACGTGGATCATGGGCCCGGGCCCTGGTTTCAACATCTCCAGAATTTTCACCATCACCATCAGCATCATCAGTTGAGGCTCTTTGTTTACAGATCTGTGATCAATGGTAAATACTTGGTGGCGAACTACCCACAAATCGTAAGTGGGTTATAACCCCAGTGATTTCAGTGGATTAACCCTGGGTTATAACCCCAGTTATAAGTGGATTAACCCTACAAAAATCCCATGTAAATCACTGGGGTTTTTTCAGCCACTTTAACTCGCCGTGGGTAGTTCGCCACCAAATGGCCTCAAATCTCGGGACTTGGATGTGTATCCCTTAGGAAGGGATTGAGAACCATGGTTTCATCAAGGTTCTTTAATAATCTATAATGATTATAATGTGTTATTTGGGATGCGATTCACTTATACAATCATAGCCTTATAGCTGTATTAATAAATCACAATGCTGTGCAATGTTGTATATAGTGCTGTTAACCAAGGTTTCAAGACCATAGTTTCAGTTGCAGTATGTCCAAATTATAATCCCATTACAAACCCCCGTCACCCAGCCATTGACTTTGCAGTTTCCTCTCATATCCCACCCTCCATATTCAAACGGCTGGCTGGAAAATCCCTTATACGTGGATGTTTCTAGGTGGGAACATCATCAAACTATTGCTGGGGGATTTTCCAGCAAGCCACCTTTCATAACCCTTTTCCGGAGTTATGCTGGAGTTTCCATGGAGTTTCAACCATCAACCATACATCAATGTTAGTTGAGTTCCCCTAATCGTTGACTGGTTTCCCAGTATATCACAATGATATCATCATTGATTCCCTGCAAATTCCACGTATCAGAAGTGTGTCCCATGCATCATGAAAAATCCCATTAAACCTCCGTCAAATCACAATGTTTGCATGAAATCCCATTAAATCCCATCAGGGTTTCCATGAAAACTTCCATCAAATCTCAGGAAATCTTTTGATAATCCCATTACATGTTCCAATGAAATAGCCTTGAAACTCTTGAAGACCCAATGAACTTCCAGCTCTTAGGAGTTTCTATCCAGCTTCCCACGCTGCCTAAAACTGAGGCAGTTTTTAGCCGCGCTGAGAGTCCAACACGGCACCATGAAGAAAGTCAGTCACATGTTGCTTGGTGACGACGACGGGGTTTCAAGGTCAACAGAAAGTGGTGGAGCATCAGCGATTCTTAGTCCTTT